TACATTACATTACATTACATTACATTACATTACATTACATTACATTACATTACATTACATTACATTACATTACATTACATTACATTACATGACATACAGAGATACATACATATATTACATTACATTACATTACATTACATTACATTACATTACATTACATTACATGACATACAGAGATACATACATACATACATTACATTACTTTACTACATACATACATACCTGCTGGGTGAGCGTTGCTTCTTCAGCGATCTCTGCCCAGTTGTAACGTCACAGCGCGAAACAAGTTTGTCGAACAAACTTCAAGATAGAAGGCTATAACAGCCGAATGCATCGGATTGGAATTCGTTAACGCAACCAGTTTACCTGCGTGTTGCCCAACCTACTAAAGCTAGCAATGCAAACGCACAAGAGCCGGCCTCAAGAAATCATTGCATCAAAAAGAGGCTCAGATCTGCTCCATCTCCAACAAAACACTCTTCAAAACACAAGCAAAGAAGAGCGCCCCACTTTCACCATGTTGGACGTCTGGAGGAAGCATCTGTTCGGAAACTGGAATGGATGCCGTGGGTGGCCAAATGTGGCCACGTTTGCCTCAATGGCAGCGGGGGCCTCGATCCACGTGAAACGACGGCATCCGCAAAGTCTAGCCAGACCTGGTAGATTGAAAAGGCTGGCACACCTTCAAGTACGCAGTGCATATTGTCTGAATGACAATGTATATATCTGTGTCGGATGTCTGTTTGGGGCTGGAATGTCTAGCCCAGCACCACTTCGCGATCGGCGCGCAGCTCCTCTGGCGCATATTCCAGCTCGAAGCCGTTCTCTGCTACGCGGCCCAGCCACTCCTGCTTCTCCTTGGCCTCACCGCGACAGGACATGGTGTGTGTGTGGGGCGAATGTTCACTCAGGATGAACCCTGCTCTCCATGCGCTGTGAAAACTCCAGGTGTTGGCCAGTGGGCCATTTTCCTTGTTCGATACTCACTGACCGCAAAGGCTCGGACAGAAATGGTCGTCCAAATCCATGTCGCGCGGAATGGCATCCCTGTGAATCGTGAAAAAGGAATCCGGAGAGAAAGCAAGGCTCGGACCTGGAACTTCCAAGGACCCCTCGTTTCTGTGCAGAACAAACGTCTACAACTAGAACACGTGAAAGCAAAGAGCCCGCAACATTGAACTAGCAGGCTCTGTTCAAGCGCGACAAAAGTCAGAACATTCCCAAGTAAATCCCTTGTAAAGGAACCTCCTCTAAATGAACACGCCGTCATGGACCGCCTCGGAATAAAACGTCCTTCTTTGGGACTTGTCTGGGACTCCTCCGAAACTCTGAAGCCCGAGGATAATGTTCACACACACACAGAGATGTGCTCCCTGATCACTGCAAAGTTGGAAGCGCAAGAGCCACTTCTGAAACAGTCCAAGGGTTGGTTCTCCACTTGAAGACCTTCATATCCAACCATGTCCAACCCTCAGTTACCCTCCAGGCGCTCATGCAACCTGGAAACACAGAGGGGGAGCCAAATCGGATCCCAGCTGTTGTTTTTTGCGTCAAGCCCATCGACTGCTTTGCCTCATGCCATCTTCTGGCGACCCATGTGCAACGGCGCTATCCAAAAAACATAGAAAAAGAGATCTGCAACCATACCTCAAACCAAATTCATTGCATAGGCGCGCCCGGCCGCACCTAACCTAGAATCTTGCCGGAGTCTATCCTTGCAACCCGTCCAGCCCCTCTATCCCCCCTCAAGCCCCTCCACCCCGTCAACCCCTTCCACCCCACCCATGTATGGTTTTGTGTAGGCGTCCTGCGCTGCCGCCGCGAGGTCTGCGCGCAGCTCCTCGCTGCGGCCCAGCTCCGAGGCCCGGGTGGGGTGCAGCTGGGGGTGTCCGGCCAAAGATTCGAGTGCAGCTGTCCTGCTGATTGTTTTGAACTCTTGAAATTTCAAGCACATTGGACATGTTGTGGGCATGAGTTCTGGAAATGAGACTCCCAGCGAAGCTCGCTGCTGAGCGAGCGCCAGGCGTGATTCCGACACCCGAAAGTCACTGCTTGATGGTTTGAGAAGGTTATCAAACAACCCTCATCATAAGAGGCTATACCCACACCGAATCAGCTTGCAATTCTTCGATGCAACCGGTTTATCTGCGCGTTGCCAACCGACTAGCAACCAGACTCAAGTACTAACATCACATCAGGAACAGTCTCAGATCTTCTCCATCCCCAACAACTTTAGCCCCTCAAGGCAGTCAAAGCCATTTTCCAAGTGAAGCCAGTGTTTGCCCCACGGCAAATTTTGCACGCTCCGTGCTGGTTGGCGCCATCCGAAGATGGTCCAAGTTGGAGTCACAGGGCTGAGGTAGAAGCAGTCTACACAAAATTAGCCGAATTTGAAGAGAGCGATATATTGGATGTCTGGATGACATACCATACAGTCCGTCAGCGTGTTAAGAAATGTTATAAAGCCAGAACAGGCCCAACAACTTGTTTGAGACCAAACAAGAAACAATAATTTTCAGGGGCTCCCAAAAAGTGCATGCCGTCCCATAGTATCAAAGGCAAAACCGTTCGTCCGGGGCAACGTGCTGTCAAATCCTTGGTTCAGAAAATCGAATTTGCAAATCTCCGCAGCAGCACAGGCCATGGCCATGGGCCAAGCGCAGCATGCAAATGTTTCCCCTCTCGTAGAAAGCTGTCCGTTTTCGACGACATCCCCTGCCGGCACTGAGCGAGTACAAATCTACGGTAAAAAAAACAAACAAAGGCTTAGACCTACATTACATAAGAAAGTCGACCGACACTCTGGATTCACTCCATTTCGTATCCTGGTCAAAATACACTGCTTCCTTGACATACCGATCAACCGCACACTTAGAATGTATGTTTGGGATTCTTGGACGTTTTTTTGCTCGCTTCTGGGATGTCCAAGTCCTTGCCGCCAAAAAACATGAACAAGCATCACATAAGGACAAGCCTCAGATCGGCTGGAAATCCAATCTCAGAAAAGCTCTTGAGGAGGCCATGAGTGAGGTTTCTTGGGGGTTGGAATCGGATGACCCCAACCGTGCCGGACAGCCCCTCCGCAGCTCCTGCGAGGCGAACTGCAGAGCGCGCAATTCTTCTCTGTCCTGACTTCGGCTTCATGAATAATTTGTATCAACTCCCAGCACGGTTTGTCACCCTTGCACTAATCAGCACACACCAAGCAAGGTCGAATCCTCAAGCCATGCGTCGCGGTCGTCCGGCATCTTGAAGACAACTTCGTCCAGCTTCGTGAAAGCCACGTCAACCTGATCCGCCAGCCATCTCTTCCAGGTTGCCTCTTCCAGTAGACAAACTGAGGTGCCCCAAACTTTGGAACCAGCTCATCAAAACTGACTGAACCAACCCAAACCTAAATTCATTTGCGCTTCGCTGCCACTGCAAAAACAGATTTACCAGTAATGACCGTTTCTCTTAGAAACCAGGCAACTTCAGGCAACGCTAGGTCAACGAACCAAACCATACCCTATCACCCATGTTGCTTTGCAATGACACGGTTCATGTTTGTTCATGTTCATCTGCAAGGGCACGGTTTGCTTTAGTCTGTTGGACCGCAAAAAGGGTACCACTTCTTTCGCAACAAAAGCCCTTCAAGCGGGTATCTCCAAATAGCAACCTGGGTTCCCCTTGGCCCAAATCTGTACACCAATAATCAAACCTTTTTAGATTCGGCCGAAAAGATTTAGTCTGCCCTATTTTCAATACTTTTGGAGACCCCAACGACAGGGCGCCGCCTCCATTCGATCCCGCAGGCTTGCAGGGTCCTGGCCGAAACGCATGGCAGAGTGGGGGGGCCTGCTGCCCCAAAGGGGTGGCATTGTGATGGATGTGGATTGGTTTTGGGGTTGGTTTGGGGCGTCCATCAGCCATGTTTGTCCACTAACGCCACAACCTGATTTGTCATAGTGTTCAAGGAGCCCCTGCAGTAAGAACCACTTCAAGCCAGCCGCAAAAGCAAACCAACAGCCTATAGCCATTCCCGGCCTTCAATTGCTGATAAATTGCGCCAAACTAGTGTAATTTGCTTGTAGTGGATACAAAGTTGTTTGTAATTGGAAATACCCTTGCATATGTGAATTTGCCGTGGCGTGGAGTGGACCTGTAAAGCACATGTCTCGCGGCTTGCAGCTCCTTGTTCGCAGCTTGCTTGGCCATTTGCAGAAAATCAAGAAGCCCAAATGCATGTGATACTATGCTGGCGAAAGCCTGCAAAGTTTTGCATATGTGCCCTTGAGAAGTCAGTCGTGAATTCCCGGGTTGAAGCCCGACTCCTGCAAACACATCAACCTGGAAGAAGCCATCTTCATCTACCCTCTCATCGTTGCATGTGTTGCCATTGTTTTCATCCTGTCGGCCAACTTCTGTTTGGCGGTCCCTATCATACACGAGGCGAACCAAGGTCCCTTTTAGGCGGTTCTGCCAAGGCCAGCCCTCGGCTCACACGGGCCATCTGTCCTCCGCGCTCTCGCAGCAGCCCATGGCGAATTCAAGGAAGCGCCTTTGCGTGAAACAGGGCTGGACCTATAGGCCGAAACGGCTCGCGAGTCAACCCATAGAAACTATTCCCTTGGACTTGATATTGTTCTGCTAAGACGTTTTCTGGGACTTAGTATTCAGCGGGAATACTTGTTCTCTGCCCAACTGGTGCTGGCATGTTAAGTTTGAACCCCGTGCTGCAGGTGTTCCTGCAAAAATCGGCGCTGGCGCTCGTGCGTGTCCGCTTTAGCTTTTCAGCTCCCGGTCTAATCCATATTCTGAAACTTTGCGCTTTGGACCGACACGTTTCTAAACACTTCATCTGTTTGTGGCACCCCAAATGTTCACCTCTTACGTCCACCAGTAGAATGTGGATATGGAGGAATACATGTGGTCGTGCGTTTTGTAAACATATTTCCTTGCTGGCTGCTCATGAGAGAACCCCGAAGTGAACACCTGTTGCCTGTTGGATCCCAAGCGGCTCATTCGCAAAGCCGCTGAAATTCATCGAAAATACATTCGCTCAACTTGGTTGTTTCGCCAGGTTGGTTGTTTGGTCGAAACGAGACTTAGATGTGTATGTCATGGCTTTACTTTGCCGGCCATTCAAAGTCCCATGGGCCGTTTTCGCAGGATGAGAGTTTCTTGATTGCGTTGCTGGCTAAGGCATGCACAGGGGCTCCAGGTGTGCTCCCAATAGTCGGCCAGACCCCCCTCTCAAGGAGAGCCCCTCTGCGAGGGCCTCTCCGAAAGCAGGGCTTGGTGGAACTGGGCCTGAAGGAGAGATTTTCGTGCGTCGCAGCCAGCCAAGCCGCTCAGCGCAACTCGCCGAGATTGCTCGCCGAGATCCTGACTTTTGGGAGAGCCCCTCGCGGAGGAACTCGCCGAAAATTATTAAGCCTGCCCGTTGGATTTCTCGCCGAAAACTTTCTGGCCTGCCAGCCAAATTCCTCGCCGAAAGAATTGCTGATCATTGCAGATCCGCCGCCTGCGTTCCTCACTGAGCTTTGCCTGATCGACAGCCAGGTCCATCCCGCAGTTGCGAGCACACTGGAGCCCCTGTGCATGCCTTAGCCAGCAACGCAATCAAGAACTCTCATCCTGCGAAAACGGCCCATGGGACTTTGAATGGCCGGCAAAATAAAGCCATGACATACACAGCTAAGTCTCGTTTCGACCAAACAACCAACCTGGCGAAACAACCAAGTTCTGCGATAGTTTTTTTTATCGGCAACTGAATGGGACAGTCACGCCAGTCCGAGTCCAGGGCCACTCGAAAACTTTGGTCCACCGTACCTGGCGTCAACCAGGGGTTTTAGAGGAGTTCTATTTCAGCCAGATGTCCTCCAAAAAGGAAAAGGGAAGACATATTCATTGTTTCTGCTAGACCTTCCAAATCCAACTTATTTTCGCGAAGTTCTCTTCCCGTCCTTGTTCCACCGTTTTGAGGAAATGCGGGAGCTTCAAGGGAAGTGGATGGTGAATTGAGAAATCTCAGGCATGATCCGAAATTGGTGAGGAATTGTGTGCAATCCCAATTCTCCCGAAACAACGGAATATCAGTGCTTTGCTGAATTTGCGGGTTTTAGCTGATTTGTGCGCTGTGTTTAAAGCGAGCAACGTTGTGTTGTTCTATTTTTGGGACAGGCTGCGGCTTGAGTCAGACCCGAAATCAACCGCACGCAGCAGAAACCTGGAGAAACAGCCTGCTGTCTTCCTTCACAGCTCTGCAAATTGAAGTCATGTGTCATAGGTTGCAACAGGGACATGTGTGCGGCGAACGATTCCAGGGCCGCTTCAATATTCCAGGAACGCAAACACATTCCCAGCAGAGATTCGAGATGTTAGAAGCGCAAACTGATTTGCGGTAGTTTCCCCCTCAACAAGCTTCATTTTGACAACTCCGACAGGTTCTAGGTCGATTTGTAAACACAAATGGTAGTCTCCGATGATTGCGGAAAATAGCTTTGGCTACCCCTGCCAATTTTCCATTTGGGATCATCAAGGGGGTCCTGGCGGGGGGGCTTTGTGGTGGAAAGCTGGAGGAAGCTGGGCCAGTTTCCTTGAAACAAACAATCAATCGAGGGGGACTCAGACACGTGGCACTAACCGAACACGCGGTGGGAGATTCAAAGGTGGACCGAATCGAACCGTGGCACCCCTGACTCGAGGAGTTTACTCACTTCTTGAGTGGATTGGCCGGGACAGTTTAGTGAAATGACCAGGAAAAACAACTTTGTTTACCACTAAAGTTGTTTTCAATTCCAAAAAAGTGAAAGTCCAAGAACTGAAGGAGTGAGCTTATCTTCTGAGCATGAGCTGGCACGTAGCCTCTGATCCAATTCTGAGGCTCCGGCTGTGGGTTGGCTCGCCACATGCCTCTGTCGCCCCATGCAGGCTTCATGCGCAGCGGTGGAAGGTGGGTGGTGAAGATTTCACCTGAATCTGCGCACTGGGGCTGTCGATTTGAATTCACACATATATATATATATATATATATGGCCGGGTGGCTTTTCTTGAGCATGCCGCTTGAATGACACAAAATGACCCGGTGGTTCGTCTTGCGCACGGCTGCAAAAGCTGCCTGAAGTTCTCAAGCGTTGAAAAACGTGTGTGCGCTCGTCAAGCACAACATTTGAAGAGGTATAGCGTAGACTTGGCAATTGACTTTCACATAGCCTCCATTTGAATGTTCTGAAAGGGTATCACAAGGAGATCAACCACCTGGATGCACCCATAACTTTGAGACACAGCCCTCGACTTGGCCTGCTCCGATTTGGGGTTGTTTTTTGAGCTGGTACCCTTTCGGACGCCAAACGACAAATCACCATTTCGGGAGGGCCCACATTTGAACAATTTTGAACACCTGCCCACTCGCAGACTGTTGCTCAGGGCAGCCGCACCGCACACATGCGCCGGCGCCGCTGACGTCATCCGACAGCCTGGTCGAGTTCTGTGGCGAAGGCGGCAGTGGCTTCGGAATCGGCAAATCCATGATCCTGTGGATGGATACAAAATCCACACGCACTAGTTAGAGTTGGTGCTTTCTTGCAGAAAACAGGGCTTCATCCACCCCAACTGGTCCAGGATTTTGTCCATCCACAGTAGAAACGCGCGTGCTCAAGCGAGGACACATAATGTGCATGACAGAGTGCGGAACATTTGCTGGCACCGCGTAGAGCAGCACAAAACAGACAAGCAAGCATGCAAGAGTAAGAGCATGAAGCAGAGAAGAGCCGGGGCAGAGCAAGAGCATCGTGAGGCCAAAGCAAGAGCAAATACTTGGTCTCTTAGTACAGGCATGCGTCATGGATCACTTGAATGCCTAGCGTGGAATAAGTCTGCGATGGCACATCTTGAGCCTCATCCTGCCCAGCCAAAACCACAGACACATCAGCGGAAAGGTTTCTTGTTGCGTAGCAGAGCCAGACAAGGTCATAACCACCTGCGTGGCCGAAAGGTCATGTCAAACATGCCTGTGCAGCTAATGGGCTTTCGTGAAGTGCTCAAGGCCCAACAGCTGGCAAGGTCGTTTCTACCTATCTGCTTGTGTAAAGCCATCACCCTGTTTCCATGATGGTTGCCCCCTTTACTTGCCCCTAAGGCACCCACAAAAAAACACTCACATATTTAATGGCCTATCTTGTCATCCCAGTCACTTGTCGCCTCCTGCCAACAGTATTCAATCCAGGGTTCGGTAGGTCTCTTTCTCATACTTTCCCGCGCAAACTGCGCAGGAGTTTTCCATCGTGGGGCAGCACCCCTCAAAAGGACTGATACCTGGATTCCGCCTACTAGTAAGAGTGGATGGACACTTAAACCTGGGGAGTGAGTGTTCAACATCGTGGTCCTGTAAAACGCTTTCATTTAGGCGTCCCCTTGAATACCAGCCAAAACGGGGGTCAGCCAACTTGGACCGAGCCGCTCGAGACCGAGGCACCAAGGCACCGAGGCACCTGGCCGCTAGCTCCGTGGCACGGCGTTGCCGCGGGCCTGACAATTGCGCCTCGCGGCTCGCGGCTCGTGCAAACGACCAGGTGGTCCGGAAACCAAAACGGGTAGAAGGGCAGGGTGCAGGATTTGCTCACTTTGCTTCAGGTGCCAAGCCCCTTTCATGGTTTTTCCTTCTGAATAGAAATGAGTCTCAAGTAGCCGTGGATTGCCCCTGAGCTGCTCTGATACTGGCGATTTCGTGCGGCAACTCGGGTGACTCAACTTCACGAGCAACACGAGGTCCGTGAGTTTCCTCAAATCTGCGGACGTTTTCCGACTTGACCTCCGGGCGGCAAAGCCTCGACAAAGTCATTTCCTCCAGGACGTGGGCAAATTGGGCCGGGGCGTCCAAATCCCTGGGATTGTGTGGCATACCTGGAGCCCGTCCCAGGTCCTCCCCAAATGGGTGTCCAAGCTGAAACTATCGAAATGAAACGATGAAGATCTGTGGTGTTGCCCACAAAGAAGGCACCCCATTCGGCTCCTCCAAAACAACCCATGTGGCCAGAGGGAACAACAGCAACTCTTGTTTGGGTTGGCTGCAGAATGGGAAACCTCAACCTGGGCACTGTTTGGTTCTGATGGGACGCCCCGAACTCGGAGGGAAAAGGCCTGGTCTGAGTTGTCCAGGTCGAGTCCTTGCCACTGCCTACGGTTTCCTTTTTGGACCACCGGCCGGAAACGTTCAAACCAAATCTGCTGTAACCCTGTGCTGTTTTGCCGGCCTGCGGCACCTGGCGGCAGCGGAAGAGGCCGCGAAAGGCGCCGCAGGCGCCGGCAAAGGGCGCCTGAGCCACGCGCTGGTGGAGGGAAGCCCTTGGTTCAAAAACCCAACCAAACATACAAATGCTGCGGTCTTTTTTAAGAACCCGAAGCCAAAAGGGAACCAACCGCCTTTTGTCTTGGGGGCCTCTATTTTAAGACGCAAACCTCCAGTGGACGGATCGGGCCCTCCAAATTGGAATCCTGAAATCTTGCTGGCGCTCAGCAGGGAATGAGGAATAGAATGACCCTGAGATTGACCATCAATCCTATGGCGTCCTCTACTCAGCAAAGCCCAGGTTCATTC